TGAACAAAGTTTGTATTGTACGTTGCCAGTTTGAGATCATGAGAATCCACTCTCTTTTGTACATCGATAATTTCGTTGCTGAAGCCAGCAAGGTAATTTCGGATTTTTTCACCGTAATTATCGAAAGCAATCTTGAAATCTAACTTTATTTGCGATATAACTTCATCCACATATTGTTTGTTTGCAACATCAGCGGCATCTGTTGGCAGTTTTACGTTACACATCTTCAAATGACCAACATCAATATCACCGGTTGGAGTATGTGAAAATCCAGATCTGACTGTCACCATCTGAGCTGAGCGTGGAAACGAGCCACGTCCGAATTTGTCGAGACTCATTATGCTAATGACTAAAGTATTGTACGTTATCGATAATGGTCGGCACTTTGCATCGCCAATTATTAGCCCCTTCACTCATAGACATGCCATGAAAGTGTCACAGAAGTGTCAAGGAAGTGTAACGGAAGTTCACGGAAGTGTCAAGGAAGTGTCACGGAACTGTCACGGAACTGTCATGGAAGTGTCAAGGAAGTGTCACGGAACTGTCACGGAAGTTGTCATGGAAGTGTCATGGAAGTATCACAGAAATGTTACACATGTTTTATTATGCCTGCCTCTTCTAATTCGTTCAAGATGGCAACAATCTCGTTATCGTTTGATGTATTTCCGGCTTGCTGTGATGCAATGAGCAACTTCAATCTATCTACCAATTCATTTGGATCATCCCAATACATGTATTCGATAGGTGCTGTGTTGTATGTCAACTTCAAACCACGACCACTGGAATTGGATCTGAACATTGGACGAATAATTTCTACGTATTTGAGTCTAGAGGAGGACTTCATACGTCCTGCAGAATTCAGATGAGCTTTGGTGAGCAAGAGTATTTGCTTGTATGGGTTCGTATCATCTTTGGCAAAGGATGGATCATTATAGAAGAGTAATTGATAGAGGCCTGGGGTGCCACGGAACCGAAAGCCATCAAGAAGTATATCTCCAGTTCTTCGATGGAAATTCATTTCTTTTCCGTTGAGAGACCATTTCGATGTTACTGGATCATATTTGGGACCATAAACCGTATCGATATTTTCATCATTTGTCCAGTATTCAGTCAGATATTTTTGAGCCATCGCAGGATACTGATCAACGTAATCATGTATTGCAGCCGGTGAGATATTTTCACTATCTACAAAAAGTTCATCATCAGCATCGTCATAACCATCCTCATCATCATCTTCAGTATGCCCAGCATTATCAGCCACATCCATCATAGGTATGAAATTAGTTTGGTTCAAATCCGATTGCTCCCTCTCAACCTCCCCATCCTCTTCCTCATTCTTCTCCTTCTTCAACCCCAACGATTTTGCTCTGCTTCGCTTGATGTTTGAAAGCGTTCCATCGAGTTTTTCTTTTATTACCTTGGACGTGGTGGCAATTTGTTTCAAAGGTGATGTCAGTGGTTGGAATATTTTCTGTAACGCATCATCATCCTCAGACTTGCCCAATTTTAGTGCTAAATATTTTCTTCTGATTGATTTCGATAGTTCGTTGATTTTTTTCTTGCACAGCGCATCAGCAACATCATCATGCATCTTGGTTGACGTCATCTTGATGAATGGTCCAGAGATCACAGTCTTATGAACTTATCGAAACCATTTCTATATCTGCCAGCATTCATATCGAAAGTTTTTGCAATCACCATCGCACCATATTGGTTGGAATTCCAACACTCTGAGCACAATGCTTTAAATTTATCGAATGACATGTCTGGTGAGACATGCTCGTCGAACACATGCTTCAAATTCATTTCATCCTGTCGAAATAACACCAACAGGTTACTGTTGTCTCGCACCAGCTGCTTCGGTATCTTAGAAAAAGTCTGGCATAGGTATGCTACGTCAATATCCTTGTGTCTACACATTGAAAAATATTCTCGAATTTTTTGCTGCTTGTCGCATGATACATCATCAAAAATGAATATCGAATTATTTTTCGCTTCTGATGGACTGATGACATCATCATTTTCTTTAAAGGGAAAATACCCAACACCTTTCACTGAATCCAACACTTGTTGCAGCAATTGATATTTCGGTTGGTACAACGACTTTGAATACACGTAAACGTTCTCGAATTTCGCGCCATTTGGATTGAACAGCAGGGAAAGCATCGCATTGGTCTTTCCACATCCGCTTGGTCCGCAGAAGATTGCTCTGAACGAATGGGGAAGCAGTTTCCCATGTTTACTATTTACTGGTGGTTTGGTTGACAAAATTTCATCCAAATTCACAATGGGTAACATCCGTTCTTGTTGAATGATCTTCATCATGTGATGATATATTTTTCATTTCATTAGGTATATGCAGAGTTGTCGAACTTCCTACACGTCAGTCTTCATGTTGCTCTACCACGGAGAGGGTGTGCTTAATTCTCTGATCGATAAACTTCCCATCGAATTACACATTCCAGGCTACAGATTTTGTGGTCCAGGTACCAAACTCGATAAAAGACTTGCAAGAGGAGACACCGGTATCAATCCGTTGGACGACGCGTGTCGAGAACACGATATCGCCTATTCACAAAATTCCTCAATAGAAGACAGGCACAAAGCTGATTGGATATTGGAAAATAGAGCTTGGGAGAGAGTCAAGTCGAAGAACGCTAAATTCAAAGAGAAGGCTGCTGCTTGGCTTGTCACCACCGGAATGAAGGCCAAACGAAAACTTGGCATGGGTCTTGTATCACAGCAATCCCTATCCAACATTATCAAATTCATAAAAAATGTACTATCAAAGTCAGATGGTGGTGGTGGTAGTACAACATCAGGAAGTGGTCTGAATAAATCTGCATTGAAAGCACTCCATGCAGCCAGAATGGCAGTCAAGAGGGCTGGCGGTAAAAAAAGAATCAGAGTACCAAGAATCATACCTCTTCCACACAGTGGCGGTATACTACCATTGATACCAATCTTTGCCGCCTTGGGAGCCCTAGGATCTCTAGCTGGAGGAGCCGGAGCAGTCGCAAAGACAGTCATTGATGCGAAAAATGCAAAGAAAAAGCTCGAAGAAGATCAAAGACATAATAAAGCAATGGAGGCTATCGGCAAGCAGGGTTCCGGCCTATTTCTACGCAAAACATCGAGAGGATTCGGACTGTACTTGAAGAAACAATCAAAAAACTCAAAAAACTTCTAGACAAGCTACCCAATAAATCAATGTACGATAAAGATGTGATAAAGTATGCCAAACAGCTGAAAATACCGTATTTTCGAGGTGTTTTTATGCGGGACACTCTACCTTCCACCGGTCCATGGCATCGCGAGTGTGCTGTATTGAATTTGGATACCTCCAATCATGCGGGCACTCATTGGGTGGCTTACATAAAAAATGATAAAAAAGCCTTATATTTCGATAGTTATGGCAATCTGAAACCGCCCAGAGAATTGGCGCAATATTTGGGTGCCAGCACGAAAATCTTGTACAATAACAATCAATACCAGAATTTCAATCAAAGTAATTGTGGACGTCTATGTTTAGAATTCCTTTTTAATGAGACCAAGTAACTCGGTCATTGTGCATCAGTCATGTCTCTGATTGTGACGTTGAAAGGTCGTACATCTACGCTCTCCATAGACTTTTTGACACCACTCCAACTCGATCCAGACTCTGATTACGGACTAGCATTGTTGGGATTCCATTCATACAACAGTATACCGAATATCGACAAAGGATCAAAGTTTTATCTGCAAGATAAGACCAAGGCGGGAAAGATCATCGATATTCCCGAAGGTTCATACGACATTGTGGACATTGAGACATTCATACGCAAAGAATTGGGCATCTCAAGTGCAAAGGACGTTGATGATATATTCTCGTTGAAGCCCAACAATAATACACTAAAGTGTGAGATTTCGAGCAAACAGTTTGCCATTGATTTTCGCCCGAAGGATAGCATAGCTCAAGTCTTGGGATTTTCAAATAGATTGTTGAACGCACAACAAGTCCACACTTCCGATTTGCCGGTCACCATAACCAAAGTGAGAACCATTCACATTGATAGCAACGTTACTGCTGGAGCTCTCTACAACGACAGACCATCACATACGATCTACGAGTTTGCAGTTGCAGTCGATCCTGGTTACGCCATAGACGAGACTCCCAGAAATCTAATCTATCTACCTATAGTCAGCAGGCGGGAATTGCCCAACATTACACTCCAGATTCTAGACCAAGATTTCAGGCAGGTGAATTTTAGAGGTGAAGAAATCATCATAAGATTGGAATTGAAGAAACTCGCAAGATGGTACTAGTGTTTGATTACTCCTATAAATCAGATAATATACCATCATCAGCAACATCATCGGCACCAGTTCTCTCGACACCGTGCACCAAAGCAGTCGTGTCTTCGAAGAGCAGCAACAGAAAAACATTGACATTATCCAGTGTCCTGTTTCTGAAATCATTCAAAGACTACAATGTTGTTAGCACCCGTGTTCGACGTTTTCCGCAAACCCAGACTCGACGAAAGCATCACTAAAGTGGAATGGCGTACCTATTATCCATATGTGAAATCATTCGAGAACAATGATGTCATCGATATAACGGTTAATCAAGCAGATTCGTGGTTGGCCATGTTTGAAGGCATCATTACCATCAAGGGTAAATTGAAGGTGACCGGTGGTGGTACTGGTACATTAACCCACAATGCTGGAGCTTATCTCTTTGATTCCTGCACCTATGAATTGTGTAATAAAGAATTGGACACTGTCAGATATCCTGGAATAACGAGTACTGTGCGAGGATACTTGTGTTATACGCCTGAAGACTCACGTCATCTAGCCATAGCAGGCTGGAACTATCCCAATGCTCCGATCCTCAACACCGATGGTACGTTTAGCATGAACATTCCACTGAAACATTTGTTTTCCATCTTCAATGATCATCAAGTGGCAACGTGGGGCAAGCAGTCAATCCGTTTAGTGAGAGCTCGCAATGATGCCAATAGTGTGAAGGTTGTCGAGAGAGCGAATACTGCTTTGCAAGGATCTCCTCAGACTCAGAGTATTGCTAAAATAACGATAGAAAGCATCAATTTGAAAGTGCCACATCTCACACCCAACGATGACATAAAGTTGCAGTTGTTGACACGTATCAAAGCAGATGAGTCTATGATGATACCGTTTCGCCGATGGGAATTGCACGAGCTACCAGCACTCACACAAGGATCTACCATAGAAATCTGGTCCGTCAAGACATGTTCTGCATTGGACAGTCCAAGATATGTTATAGTATTTTTCCAAACGAAAAAAGCCGATAATTTGCATGAAGACGTCACCTTGTTCGATAATGCCAACATCAAATCCATACGATTGGCTCTGAATAGCGACTATTATCCGCAAGAACGAATGCTATTGGACTTTTCCCGAGACCAATATGCCGACGCCCACTTCAACTATACAGAGTTCAACAAGAGCTACCATAACTGTCAAGAAAAGCGCTCTCTAGTAAACTTTGCCGAATTCAAATCCCGACCAATGTTTGTTATCGATTGCTCGAGGCGCCATCTGGGTCTAAAGTCGTCCACAGTTGACATAAAGTTGGACATTGAAGCGACTACAGGCTTCCCTCCCGACACCAAAGCCTATTGCATCATCATTCATGATCAAATCATGGAACATCTCCCACTCAGCGAAATTGTTCGAAATATTGCCTAGGTGGGTGTTGTGACATCAGTCAGACGTCAGTTTGCTTCGAAGAGTCATGGAGATCGCACTGGTTGACATTCAAGGGTTCACGGTTGATGGTGAATTCATTCCAAAGGAAATGACCATTCGCATAGGCAAAAAGACGAGTCATTTTCTATTCAAGCCATCTGTAGAATTTTCCAGTTTAAGCAGAGAAGATAAAAAGATGGCAAATCATGTGGAGCGTTACGTTCATGGTTTAAAATATTCCAGTGGTTATGTGGATTTGAATGAGTTGGATCAAATACTACGAGATAACCTGCAGCAGACAAACACCATCTACGTAAGAGGTCATCAAAAGATTCAGTTTTTGCAGCGAAAATGTGCAGAGTTGGAGATGACCAATCACATTGTTAATTTGGAAGATTTTGACAATTCTTGGTGGCAACCAATAACGTTCCTACAATCCATTCCACCCTGCATGAATCATTTCCATGGAGGAAGGTTCCAGTGCAGTCTCCACAATGTCGATACTTTATATAATTGGTTATGTAATTTATTGCCAAAATAAAAAACTATATATCGTAATTTCAGAGTTTTTATTCATCACATCCCTTATTTCTCAGTATAATGAAAATAACATGCGAGATTAAAATGAGTGAACATATTAGTGTACAACAAAGTGTCAAAATTGCAATGATATTGACAGAATCTTGATCATCATCTAATTTTGCGGGTGATTTCTTCAATGTAAATGTCTGCCAGTCTCCCATTTCGCCGTCACTGCCATCAGAAAACGATAATTTCAATTTGTAGTCGATGGTGGTCCCATTGACTCGAGGCATGTCGATTGAATATACAGGTAGTTTGTTATCGTTGACATACATTCTACTCATCAGCTTCCAATCACACTGTTGTGTACGATTCACATCAAAACATACGGCCGCATTCCTCGTATTGTACGGTATGTTTGTGTAGAAGACGTTGTTGCTCAGAGCTGTCAATAGAATGAAGCTTGCTTTCAGTATCGCCATCTAGTAGCTGTGTTGGTTGGATTCTTCTCGATGTAGGTGCAACTGAACGTCTTGGTTCTGTGAACACCTTGTCCCAAACACTCAATTGCTCGAAATCTTTGAACAAACAAACTTTCTGCTCATACAATTGGATGTCTGCACTGAGCTTTCTAACTTTCAACCCAAATTCTTCTAGTGCACGTCTGTATTCGTCAGAAGACATGATACAACTGTTTTTTACATCCATACCTTCAACTAATATCCATCCAATCTCTCTCTCTCTCTTTCTCTCTCTCTCTCTCTCTCTCTCTCTCTTCTTCTCACTTTTTTACCCTCTCACTCTCTCTTACCCTCACTACCCATCCCAATGATACACAGAAAATTTCAATAATTATTTTATTAATGATAGATAGACAGCATATATTATATTTTCATTAATAGCCAGGGCAAGTATTACATTTTCATAAGAAAAAACATATTCTGAAAAAAAAAAAGTCATTTTTCATTGTCTTCTTTCGCAAACTACATTTGTAAAGATGATATCATGCTACTAAAATCTGTAAAATATTGTTAAAGTAAGTCAAGAATCAATATCTGTATGTTCATCACCAGAATCGATGAATCTCTCATATCTCTGATAATGTGAATCATGTAAATCCATATCACATTCATATCGTTCTTTAAGCCCAAATAATAATTCTAAATCTAAAACAGAGGAGTGTAAGTGTAGGTGTATGGTTTTTTTTTTCTTTATAAATGTTTGATGAGTTGATTTACATGAAAAAATTACTCTTTTGCCTGTGTATGACCCCATGGCAATGTGTCGAACGAACCTGGAATCAAATACCGTTTATCATCTTTGGGACTCAGAGCAATTTTTGATTGTTGAATGCTAAACACATTGTGGGCATATGAACGGATAGTACGTTGAGACACTGTTTGTGCTCCGAAATTCTTCAAACAATTCAAATAATCTTCGAACCCAATTTTATTCTTGACAACATTAGTTTTCACCCCTTTCGATTTTTTGACAACCTTACCCCCTTGTACTTTATATGCATACATTTTCGAACGTAGTCCTACGAAATTAGTAACGATTTTCCCATTTGCTTCATCTTTTAATAAACCCAACTTTTTTTTATTGACTAGTGGCATATTATATTTATTATCTGGAGCATATTCAGATGTGTCAAATTGAGAGAGATCAGCCTTTATAACTTCTTCATATGCATCATCACATTTCAATTCATATATGAAGCTGTCTGTATCCATATATAACAATTTACACCTTTCAATACCCATTTTCGGAATCATATACTCATAGTGAAATTTGTACATGCACAATTTTGATAAATCTAAAATGGCCATTCCTACGTATAGAGGTTTATTAAAAATTATTTCGGTTTTCTGCATCTCTATGGCAATCAAGTTTTCTTCAAAAATTGTTCTACCACGGAATCGTGGACTAGCTATGAGATTTCTGGCTCCATAACGTCCCTGCCATGATCTTACTAGTTTCACTAATCTATGCTTTCGTATGTTTTCCATCGTCTTACCGAAAACTGCATTATTCATTAGTTTATAGAGATTTTTCTCAAATTCATTTGTTGCGGCAGTCCTCAAAGAAGTATTCAGATCTATATATGATTTGAGCCAAAAAGATTGCCTGAATTTCAAAATTTTGTGGATTTTCGTCAGTTTCAGTCCGTTTGCTAAACATTGTTTTAAATTTCTATAGTGTAAAATATAATCTTTTTTGTCGTAAAGTGTTGTCATTAATTTTGGTAATTTTGAGCCGGGTGGTATGCGATGTTCAGCAGCAAATGGAAAGTCTTTGTGATTGTTATGCAAGTCGCGAGGATATTCTAAGTCTACTTGTAAAATATATCCTTCAAGAGCATCATCAGCAATATTCATTACGTTGAAATTTTCAACGTTTTCCATCCATGAGAAATCTCCGAATGGTAAAGACTCTGACATTGCCCAACCATACAAATTATTTACATCTAAATACATGAGATATTTTGAAGATTTATTGGAATCATATTCAGACATATACTTGTTATTAGCTTCTGAATACCTACCACTACAAACAGAAATACCACCACGTAATGCCTTCTCGATGAACATGATTTTATCAACGTCATTCAATAATTCCAGTTTGCATTTGGTGTACTTTAACATGGCATCCCATGTATATCCAGGCATGGTATAGTACCATGCTGGATCTAACCCATAAGTTGTCCTACATTTCTGCCGGAATTTCTCGAAAACAGCGGTCAACAACATAACGTCTGTTTTTAAATATAAGTCAGAATATTCCCCTAAATTTTGAATTTTGAATGATGACCATACCTTTTGAGCATGGGCGTACTGCTCATCGCTAATGTGTTCATCATTCAATTTATTATAAAAATATTTCTTTGTAGGTAATTCAGTATCATTCAATTTTTCCACACAACTAATGTAATCGTAGGGAAAGACACCCTTCTTGGTGAGGAGGTTGAATGTATCGTCATTCAAATGACTGAATTCTTTTTTCAAAATTTCAAAATCATTTCTATCCATGATTGAAGATAATTTATCTAAGGATGTACCCATGAAGCGAAAAGAGTCAATAAATCGGAATTTGATGCCTGTATTGTCATCATGTAAAGTGAAAGATATGTACTTTTCCATGTTTATTGGAAGTATGCTCATACGACCCTTTTTACTCAATTGACTGATCATGAAATGTGAATCATATCCTATCAGGTTGTGAAATGCAATTGGAACAACAAAGAGTTTCTTGAAATTTATGTTACAGGGTGCTTGATGCGCCCACCCCCTGAAATCGCCTGAAAAGTGATTATGATCAGATACGATAATGTCTTTCTCCCTGAATGGTTTCTCACAAATATGACAGATTTTTGCTTTGCATTTGTCAGGACTAACAGTCATTGGCACGATTGTTTTGATTTTAGATTGCACCATTTCAGCTATCTTCGACATTTCATTTGCAAACCAATCCATACAATCTTCACCCCTATGGCTATTGAAAAACGACAAGGAATCATCGAAATCACATTTAAAATAATAGCCTGCACTATGAGCCACATGTTTCTGATATTTGCTTGTTTTTGATGAAACCATATCATCCACATGTTCTAATTGACATTCAAAGTCTGCATAAATTATAAAGGGGGTGGTTTGTTGGTAGGTGAAATTTTTGAATTCTATGTGATCATATTTTGGAAATGAAACTTTGCATTGGTTCAATTCAGAACACAGCATTTGATGATCAATCAATTTTTGTTCACATTGAAAATAATTCATGCATCTTTCACAAATAAATTTTTTACCATTATGTTTATTCACTTGGCTTGATATTAATCTAGACATATCTTGAATCAAACAGTAATGGTATTTGATGTCAGAATCTTCTTCATCAATCGGAGGAGCCTCATAATCATTTAATTTTGGATAATATTTGTTTTGAATTAGCAATAGATTAACGTGCCTTTCTAATTTATTTTTTGTAAGTCTGGCTGGCACCACAGTATAATATGATTTTTCCTTGACTAAATTCAACTCTAATGTGTATACATTCACGGAAATGTTATTGTCTTTTTCAAATTTTGGAATTTGACGTAGAGACATGGGTGCATCTAAATCTACTGTTTTCAGAACTGTAGTGTAATATGGATATGAAGAAGTCCGTTCCCTATGTGTTTTCGCTGGGTAGAAGGCACTTATGATTGACCAATAAAAACATGCCGAGTCAGTATTTTTTATATTCAAACATGCTTGCTTTTTAGAAATTTGTTCTGGCAGTCTAATAAAGGATGAACCATTTCCCATTTCAAGTTTGTTAATATTAACTTCCATTGATATTATTTTATGCAAAGCCCACCCAGAGT